AAATCTTCAAATAACTCCTTAAGGAGAGCTTTAATGAAATAAACTGAAATGCTGGCTGTTATTCATGCCACAAAAGGAACAACAGTTGAAATCAGTGGCACAAAGAAGCAAACTGTCCACCTTCAACAGCAGCACTGCCTCATTGGTTCAGAAAATGACCAGTCAATATCCAGAATGTACTTAAACCAAGCCCTTTTTTCTTTTAAGCTATGTGGTTACAATTTTCTTCATGAATTTGCCCTGCACGTTTCCCCACATGCGTTTCTAAGGCTGATATCCTATACAGTACTTACTTGGAATAAAGCAGTGGGTTTGTCCGCAGAACATAAACACGCAGGACTGCACCCAAAACCCAGTTCCCTGCAGGTTTGTAACAAGATGGAATCATCAGCTTCAGTTTGCGACTCTAAAGCAGAGGTGGGCACTCTGTAAATGGGTGAGGTGCACTGGAAGCCAGGATTTCAATAAAAGCAAGACCTTCTACACAGAATGGTCAGAAGGCCCAAATGCTCCCTTACAATGACTATGTGCGAGCCAGGAGGTGAGGCTGAGGAGCCTAACGCCGAGGGAGGCCCGGAAGGAAAAGACAAGAAATCGGGCCTTCTCGGCGGTGGCTCCTCACCTCTGGAACAATCTACCTCCTGAGATTCGCGGGGCTCCCTTGCTGGGTACCTTTAAGAAGGAATTAAAGACATGGATGTTTCGGCAGGCCTTCCCATCACATACAGTGGACCCTTGACTTACAGACGGCTTGACTTACAGACTTTTTGAGTTACAGACTTCTCTGGCCGCAAAATTTAGGTTTGACTTGCAGACTGAGATTTGACTTACAGACCAGAAAAAAACCAAAATGGAACAAAAAAGGCCTGTTATGGGATTAATCGGTTTTCAATGCACTGTAGGTCAATGGAGACTTGACTTACAGACTTTTTGACTTGAGAACCGCCTTCCAATACGGATTAAGTTCTCAAGTCAAGACCCCACTGTATACAAACATTTTGGAGATGTTTGCTTCATCAAGAGACCCATCAAACTATCAACTGCATTATGAAAAACCTCAGGAACTAGGAATGAAAATGAAATGAAAATGGCCAATGAATGAATGAAAATGGCCAATGGATACATAGTGCAATTTATTGAGAACAAATTTGATACATACTTGTGTTAAAACAACAACAGCCATCACCAAGAACAATAACAACAGAACATGCATTATTTACTCTTTGACACATGTTGCCTGCTGATTTCACATATCATTCCATGCTCAGCAGCCTACCTGGGCTACATTTTGCACACTGTCTAGTGGAACAGCTTATGACAGGAGGAAGGCCGAGCTGCCTTGCACAGTATGCTCTTTTCTTCTCTACAATTTCTGGTGGTCCTCCAATGTTCTTAGAATTTGCAAGGCACAAGGCATCATCATCATAAAAAAAAGGTATCCCTAATCTGTTTTTAAGTGATCCCCAGTAGGCATTTTTTTGCTTAAAAGACCGTTGCCGGCAATAGTAATCCCAGTAACCGGCACAAAATGGCCAGTGGTCTGTCACTGGAACAGAATCCAACTTCTGAGTATGCCTGCTAGCCACTCTGCATGGTTGTCCAACCTGTGTCGTTTGTGCCAAAATGATATGCTAGCTATACTTAATACCCACATATACTATACTGCACCTTCCTGGTGCAATATATATTATCTGTGGGATTAAAATATAGTTAGCACAACATTTTGGCACAAATAATTCAGGATAGCTCAGTGGATCGGATACCATGGTTGCAGAAGCAGAGGTTCAGAGTTCAAGTCCTCACTGTGCCCCCCAGGAGAGGGACCAGTATTACAGATTCCCTGTAATATATGTGCAGCAATGGGGTTACATGCACTGCCACCTCTGCAGCCTTGGGCAAACTGTATGGTCCCAGAATGCCACCATAAGGTGGGGCCAGTCAATCACTTGTGAGTACTTTACAACTGGAAAACCCTAGGAGGGAGGACCGCCATCAGTTGCAATTGACTTGACAGCACATAATTTTAATAGCACATTTCAGGTATCCAGAGCATCTGTGAGGCGCCTAATCTTCTTCATTTCCTTTTAAAAAATGTCACTTAAGAAAGACTGTTACTAGACAGGACCAGAAATAGGAAAGCAACAAAATTCTGCATTGTTACATATCCCACGGATTCTTCCCTTTTGTTAAATTTCTGGCAAGCTCCTTGCTTTTAATATCTGCATGGCATGCAAACAGAAGATCATTCTTTCCACACTAACAAATAGCTGTACTTATTGATCTGGGCTGGTACAGATGGCTAGGACTTTTGTTCCATTCAGTTTGGATGAGAACATGATTCAAACCTGTACGTTTCTTCATGAATTTAAAGGAAATAGCTTGAGATTTTGAAAAAAAACTATACATGGGAAGAAAGTGAAATGTATGGCTATGTACTATCTGAATCAGAGACATCTCAGTTCACAGCAACCCTCTACATGAGAGGGACACACCAGCGCTCTGTCTGAATTTGTCCAAACTAGAGGAGGATACATTTATTTAAACACACAAGAGCCAGGTCATGGATCCATTCCAAAGCCACCCACATCATTGCCTTAAGCATCCTTTCACCCACTGCCAACCCTAGTTATCTAAGACTGTAATAGCTTTAACCCACTTACTTTCCTAGCAGGAGGAGTGTCAGTTAGATTTCTTTTGGAATGATTAATCTCAGGGTTACATGTACACTGGCGCCACTTAGAAAATGCTCTCTGAGCTGTGCTATTGCGTCATCTGGCTTCCAATCTAAAAAACGCATCCTTGTATGTCAGATTTTTTTAAAAAGAAGAAGAAGAAGCAGGATTCCACCTTTACACACCCAACTTCCCACCCACCCCGTCCCTTCAGGCTCTTCCCTTCAGCAAGTGGCAACAGCATCAGCCATGCGTCAGGTGGAAATGCCAAGGCCCTTTCACAGAAATAAAGCCACACACAGGAAATCCTCAACTCTTTATAACAATGTCTGCTTGACAGGCAGGGGAAAGCTGCCAGGCTGTGGGTGGCATCATCACGACTGGCAAACGGCAATCCTGAAATATGTGTTTTTATTCATGACACTTGCTGTTGTATATCACAGCATAAGCTACGTTGATCTGGGCTGCCAAAGCAGGGGGTCCTTTGGGAAAGCTGCCCGTCTATATATGGCAAGTTTCATATGGGGTAAAATTTGGAGTTAAGTGGAGAAGCTCAGCATGAATGATTTCTTCATGTTTACACACAGCAAGCCAGTGGATCCTTTCCTGATAGTTTGCAGCTGCAACATCTCATTACAGAAACAGCTATGAAAACATTATTTACTTTTTAAAAAGTCCCACTTTGGCCTAACTATCTACTCTGACGTTAACACTGGGAAGTGTGGAACACCAGATTATTTTTATCATACTTCATATAACACTTAGGCTACACAAAGTGTTTTAACTGTTTTATCCACATCTTTACAACCTGAGATCTTTTAGGAAACTATCATTAGTTCCCTTGTAAATGGAGAACCTGACCAGAACTGCTGGATAGCTCAGCGGCTTAAGTCATTGGCTTTGGAGCCAGTGGCTGGGAGTTCAATTCCCTACTGTGCCCAGTTGGCTTTGGAGCCAGCAGTTGGGAGTTTAATTCCCTACTGTGCCCAATTGAGAGGGGCTGGACTTGATGATCCATTGGGTCTTTTCCAGCTTTTCCAGTTCAAAGGTTATTATTGTTATTATACAGATCCAGATGTTAGGAGTTTGATTCCGCCTGAGTCTTCTACAGATCCAGAGGTTAGGAGTTTGATTCCGCCTGAGTCTTCTTGAGAGATGAAGGACTTGATGATCCATTAGGTCCCTTCCAGCTCTGCAGTTCTAACATTATTATAATTACCAAGAATGGTTTCTGAGATCAGTGGTGGACCAAGATCTATCTCTGAGTTAGGGATGGCAACGTTATCAGCTTTGTTTTCCTCCACATTCCAGTTTTGGAAATTTGGGGTTGCGGGTGGGGACTCATGAATAATTAACCGAACCACAATTCTCTTCCAATCCTAGGGGATGAAGAAATCTACCAATTGCAATTTCTCCCACTTTCAAATTTCGGCAAATTCTGTTTAAGAACAAACTAAAACAAGATTCTAAATCATCTCCAATTTTTCCACATGGAAATGCATCAATCAGATCTCACTCAAGATGATCTACGTCACTGTAAATAGAATGCTGGTTTGGGCTCAGCATCATCAACAATGTCTTCTAAAATGGAGTATAATTTATTCCAGGTCTCCCCAATTTGAGTGTAATGGAAGTTGTAATTCAACAGGGAGCCTGGTTGTAGAAGGCTGGGTTAAACCAATTGGAGGAATGCCGCACTCTTTGCCTACAGGGAGTCAGCTTCGTACTGGGTCTTTTCCAACATTAAAGGTTAATTGCTACTTTCTAACAGACAACCACATATTTGGGCATACCTATATAACACAGATACATGATGGAGTATGACAAAACAAAGCATTTCTTCACACAAGACAGAATTAGTCCATGGAGTTTAGTACAAACACTATACGGTGATCACCACTACTTTACTTACCTACATGCCTAAAAGGAGGTGCATTGACGGATAAGCTATGTATCAATGGCAATTGGCCAAGATAACTCCATGTATGCCACTGGGTATCACTAAGTCAGAGAAAACAGCAGGGGAAGGATGCTGCATCCTGCACGTGGACTTAGGAAGAGCACAGCAATATAGGAAACCACCTTATGCTGAGTCAGACCTTGGATCCATCTAGAAGGGTCCCCTGGGAGATCAGGCATGATTCTTTCCTAGCCATACCTGTAGACGGCTGGGGATTGAATTCAGGACCTTCTGCATACACAGTATGTGGTTTCCTGCTATGCTACAGCTCCTCCCACACACAATACCCAGTATTCACTGGTGGGTCTGGACCACGACATTCTTCTTATATTCCAACACAGTATCAATAAACACTCTGTTCTACATACCATAAATCCATCCAACGCAGATGACCTCAAAGACAGCAAGGAAGAGAAGGCACGTGCCGCTTGCTGAATAATAATCAAACAGCTGGAAAATGTACATTCCACCCTGCAAAAGGAACAAAGGGTAACGGTTGAACTATGTGTAAAGGGCCAGATCCAAGGGTTTAAAAAGGGGGAGGGAGGAATAAGAGAAAGGTTATATATAGCATGTTGTGTTGACTAATACAGAAAGAGGCAACTTGGCATAAATTGTGTGTGCGCGCATTTTCTAGGAGGCATGCCAAGTTGTGTACAGCTGTGTACAATATCAACATGGCAGTACGTTGTCGAATGTGCTTGTCACTTTGGCTGAGGGAGTCACAACACAGTTTTCCTCCGTCTTGAAAACCTACACATATCTACAACTGCACCGTCCCTCCAAGAATTTATTTTAGATACTGTATTTATTTAGATATTTTTAACCCGCCTTTCTCCTTAAAAAGGACCTGAGGGGGCTTACAACAATTCAAAGACAGCATTTAAATGTCGGATTTCTTTTGGAATGATATACACTGGTGCCAGTTAGAAAATGCTTTCTGAGCTGTGTTATTGCGTCATCTGGCCTCTAATCTAAAAAACACATCCTTGTGTGTTAGATTTTTTGAAAATTGATTTTTTTAAAAAAAATAATTGATACTGCTGCCCACGCTTTTTTCCCCAAACTCATTCTGGAATGCGTTAACACCTGTGTCAGAGTAAGTAGTGTCTGTGGGGATCTGCAGAGTTTGCTGAAACAGATGCAAAGTACATCTGGCTTTGAAATTGCCTGTTGTAACTTTTATCAAATATTGGTTCTGCCCAAAGGGGTTCGACTAAGAAAGAGTAGGGCTGCAATCAAAACTCTTCATCCCTGCCCCATGTTTTTATTTTTGCACTGCATTAATCTATCATGATGCCACCTCAAAACATTTTAAAATGGTATAAACAGGGTGATGTTCCCCTTCTCACCTGTCACCAAAACATCCACTTGAGTATTACCCAGCAAAGTAAATACTACATCCCAAGTGATGCCAAAACCTGGGGCTGGGGGCTGGGTAATCAGTCAAGGCACAGAATTAGAACAGGATGCATAGGATGCGCCTTCCCAGATCACGACCCCCCCCTCATTCCACTGCCCTGCCCACTCACCTGCTATCACATGATTTAAAAGATATTGGGAAGGCTGCTACACTACAAAAAGCCATATTTTTCCTATACTGTAACATGTTAGGATAGTTAGCCGAACCTCAACAGCATTTGAAAGCACAAGCTAGAGTTCATTCACGTGCATTTATATGCGATGCCTATACCCGCTGGGAGTTTTTACATCCAAAAATTAGGATGCATCAAATGCCAGAAAACGTTTAAAGCACAGATAGCAAACCTGCGGTCTTCCAGATGTCATCTAACTACACATCCCACAGTCGCCGACCAGTGGTCATAATTACTGCTGTTGATGGGAGCTGTAGCACTTAGAAAGTCACAAGGAGTTACAACATCCAACAGACAGCCTGGTTTGAAGGCTAAAACAGGGACAGCTGTTTACTTGAGTCAGACACCAGAAACCAGGGACTTGCTTTGGGGCTGAAAGGGAACTATATCGCATATGTCTGCCTCTCATATAACCATGCAATATAGTCAGATGGGTCAAAATTGTGGAAAGTAGTTCATAATATTATAACACTATAAGAATGAGGTTGGACAGACATCCTGAACTACAAATCCCATTTTCATCCCCCCCTTCCTCTGACCTCCCCCGCTCACCTCAGTGACCAGTAGCAAGCCAATCAGGTAGCATACAATCGCAATGAACAGGATCAGTAGCTCTCTGCGTCCTTTCCTTCGGAAGATTTCAGGATACAAGTCAACAACAGCTGTCACTAAGCTCTCGACACAGACGAACTGTGGGAGAAATTATATCAGGAAACCCAGATTCCAGAGATTTTGTCTCCACCTTCCTTCCTTCCTTGCTGTCCGTCTCCTCCAATATATGCCTTACTGGCGTAGCTTCCCAGCTGCATATATTATAACAAGAATGAGGTTGGACAGACATCCTGAACTACAAATCCCATTTTCATCCCCCCCTTCCTCTGACCTCCCCCGCTCACCTCAGTGACCAGTAGCAAGCCAATCAGGTAGCATACAATCGCAATGAACAGGATGAGCAGCTCTCTGCGTCCTTTCCTTCGGAAGATTTCAGGATACAAGTCAACAACAGCTGTCACTAAGCTCTCGACACAGACGAACTGTGGGAGAAATTATATCAGGAAACCCAGATTCCAGAGATTTTCTGTCTCCACCTTCCTTCCTTCCTTGCTGTCCGTCTCCTCCAATATATGCCTTACTGGCGTAGCTTCCCAGCTGCATCTTCCTCTAGCCACCCAATCTTGATGAACGCAGGGCTGGGCCTGTGGTACACAGCTGCAAACCACAGATTTTCACACACTTGCAATAGCATCTAAACTTCAGAATCTGTGCAGAATACTTCCTCTTAACAGCAGGTACCTACAATTGCCTAGGCACAGACCAAAATGACTGGAAGCCATGGCTGGAAGTATTGGTAACAAGAAGAGTCCACCATTTTAGGAGTCAAAGATTGGGAGTTCGATTCCCACCTGTGCCTGTTTGACTGGGTCTGGAACTGATGATCCATAGGGTCCCTTCCAGCTCTGCAGTTTATAAGATTATTATTCTTAATAATTCCAATTAAAGGTAAAGGTAAAGGTTCCCCTTGACAATTTTTGTCCAGTCGTGTTCGACTCTAGGGGGCGGTGCTCATCCCCGTTTCCAAGCCATAGAGCCAGCGTTTTGTCAGAAGACAATCTTCTGTGGTCACATGGCCAGTGCGACTTAGACACGGAACGCTGTTACCTTCCCACCGAGGTAGTCCCTATTAATCTACTCGCATTTGCATGCTTTCGAACCGCTAGGTTGGCAGGAGCTGGGACAAGCGACGGGCGCTCACTCCGTCACGTGGATTTGATCTTACGACTGCTATAGGGTCCCTTCCAGCTCTGCAGTTCTAAGATTATTATTCTTATTAATTCCAGTTACATGTCTATAAAGAGACCTTTTGCAGAGACCCTGGAGATCTCAGGCAGAGCCATTCACAATAGAAAGCACTGGGCAAGACGGACCAACTGTATCTCCTGTGGCCAACATGCAGCATAATGGACACAGCAAATGGTCCTTTTTTACTCTCCTTCCAAAGGTATTTATTACCTACATTTACCCCTTGCCTTTCCTCCAATGAGCTCATCATGATTCTCCTCCTCACAACTCTATCCTCATAACAACAATCCTATGAACTAGGTCAGACTAAGAAAGAGTGACTACCAAGGTGAGTTTCTATGGCCACAAGTGTGTGGCGCTTGTCAAAGATGGGTTGATCTGAAATAATAAAGGGGTGAGGGATTCACAGCAACAAGAGGGATATTTCTGAGATGAATCTGAGGCAAGTCCCAAGTACCTGCGCCTGCTTCCCCAAGTTTTAGGGTTTTATTCATTATATTACTAATAAACACTTGATATAACTGATCCATGCAGTTTCTTTGTGTTTAGATTCCAATATCTAATTCAGTTGTTCCCAACTTTGGGTCCCTAGACTTAGTTCTTGGACCAAAACTCCCAGATGCCTCCATCACTAGCTGTGCTGGCCAGACTTTCTGGGAGTTGTAGTCCAAAAACATCTGGGGAACCAAGGATGGGAGCCACCGATCTAATTCTTCTGCACGTCGTCTACGTATGCTCCCTGAACTTAGATGGAAATAAGAAAACCTGGAATTGGTTTTTTCCCCATACTTGACTGTCCAGACCCAAGAAGATCAACATAAGGAAGAATAAGCAGGACCACAGCTGTGAAATGGGCATCAGGGTTACAGCTCTCGGGTAGGCAATGAATGCTAGGCCAGGACCTGCCAATCAAAATAAAGTGAGAGAAGAAACGATTCATTAAGTCCAGAAAGATGCCACTTATAGCCTTCCATTGAACTCAAAACTCCCCTCGTGCCCTTTGGCTGTGCTAGATGGAGCAAATGAGAGTTGAAGGTCAACGACCTCAATTTCCCCGGTCTTGTTAAGTCCAACATGGAAACTGAGTTGATATAGGCAAAGCTAAACTCATCATGTAGTAAGGAGGCTGGAGAAGAAGCACTAACATTCACATCCTCTAGCCTTAACTTTTTTGGTTAACCTTTCTAGGCAAAATATCAAAAGATGGAAACATTATTCACATTTATCCTAACATTCACCTTAGACTGTGAAGGAAAGTTAATTTCTTAACTTTCAACCATTAATGGACAAGAGAACATGAATGTGTTATCTTAGTCTTTGCTAATGTATTATTAATGCCTTGGCTTTCAACTTTAAAAATCAATTACAACTACTAGAAGTAGCTACAAATGATGAAAACGACCCAGCCGTACTGAAGGAACTGAATGAATTAATGCCGAATGTTGTTACTAAAAAACTTAATACCATGGGTGTTTAATATTAAAATAATAACTTTTAAAATAGTTGTTATATGTTTGCAAATATGTGTAATATATCTTCCCATCCTTCCTCTTGACCACAGATTCTGAATGCTCCTTTCAGGTGCTGCATGAAAAAAAGTTGTGTAACAAACAGCTGAAAATATCTGAACTCTCTCTCTCTCTCTTTCTCTCTCTCCCTGAGACAACTGAGATTGAGACTATTTTGACCAGGGCTTGGTTACAAAATGGGTTAATAAAGCTCTTGGTTAGTGCCTGCAATTTTCATAAACACAGCCAATTGGTTTTTAATATATAATATTAAAAATGTACCAAGAAAAGGGGGGCCTTTTGAGCAGCCTGCTCTACAGCTTGTATTTTCATAACACAGTTTTGGTTTTGATGACAATTGAGATTGAGACTATTTTGACCAGGGCTTGGTTACAAAATGGGTTAATAAAGCTCTTGGTTAGTGCCTGCAATTTTCATAAACACAGCCAATTGGTTTTTAATATATAATATTAAAAATGTACCAAGAAAAGGGGGGCCTTTTGAGCAGCCTGCTCTACAGCTTGTATTTTCATAACACAGTTTTGGTTTTGATGACAATCCCAGTACTGATTAAAAGACTGTTATTAAAATATGAGCAATGACTGCACTCTGAATGGCAAAACAAAAAGAGCAATAAAGCTTTTATTCAAGGACTAGTTGAGGCAAGTTTGAACAGTTTGCAAGTCTGAAAACCACTTCCTTAACTATCATGTGACCTTTTGCATCTCTGGATCCCCTTGTTGGGATTATGTTTCGGGAGATGGGCAAACAAGGTCGATGCAGGATTTTCAAACATGGAAAGTCTTGAAGCTAGGTCAAGACCCCATGAAACTACACTCAGGTTTACAAGCTGTAAAGTTTTACAGGCTCCCTACTCCAGCTGTCCCAAGATGAATCTGCACTTAATTGATTATTTGTATTTATTTCATTTATTTCAAGGTACATTAAACTTTAAACATTTCAGAGGCAGTGGAAGATTTTTTTCATTCCCAGCACAAGGAACTTTAATGGGTCTCCTGCAGGCTCTGAGACAGAAACCAAGTTCTTATACCACTCCATGGTTTATATTTGACCCGTGTCCTGGCTTACAGCAATGGCTCACCTGATTCAGCCACATCGGAGACAGACATCCCCTGTTCTCGTGCCATGAAGCCTAATACAGAGAAAATGGCAAAGCCGGCCACAAAGCTGGTGGCGCTGTTCAGGAAGCAGAGCATAATGCAATCCCTGTTGGGCAATTCCAGAAAGAGCAAGTGAGAGACAGAAAGCATGGTTCACACAAGAAGGTGGGTGCTTAAGTTCTTGAAAAGGGCTGGCATGAGAGTAGGCACAAGACAACAACCAGAGGCATGAATGCAACCATTGGCACGGATGGCAAAGAAGAGTTCTGCGCTCAGAGAATGGCTTCTCGCCTTAGCTGTTAACACCAAGTCAGAGAAGCACTCTTGCCCTCCTATGCTGCACTGTTCAGGATGGGATTTTTGGAACTGATGAGCTTCCAGCCCCATCATTTGGTGGGAACATGAACTTGCCACTGAAAAGATATGCAATTCCTATCCTTATGGCATGGAAGGAACTGGTTAAGCCCTCTAGGAGAGGAAGGAGGATGTGTGTATACCTTACTGGGGCCGAGTTATGGGGCTAGAAGCTGTCAAACTAGCAGAAAGTAGAGCAGCCCTCTTTCCTTCCTGTGCCCCTTCTTCCTGCTCTTAGAAAATGTGCTGCTGCATGTTGGGAGTCACGGGGATTCCCCAAAATGTGCAAAGGTGCATTTAAAACATGTTTAAAAGCCATTAAAACCAAACATGCTACCATGAACTCCACAACCTATTCAACCCAGAATCATTAAATCCCCATAGAAGCCACCCTGCTCATTGCTTACTGCATTATTTGAGAACTAGAGCAAGAAGGAAAACCAGGTTGAGATGACTACTGGTGGAGCACATTTTGCATGTAGAAGGCACAAGGTTTAGCCCTGCCACACACACACACACCCAGAAAAACCTCTGCCCAGAGCTGTAGCTAGCTAATTCTGCACCCAAGGCATGAATATCAAGTTGCGCTCTCCTATATTTTCACAGTCGTTATTTCGGTAAAACTGACTTGTTAGTGTTCCCATCCAGGTGAGCTCACAAAGCTTAAGACGGCAGCAGCACATGCATACCCATGAGAAGCACCACTTCCTTGCTTCAGCTCTGCTTCAGAATAAAAGCCTGGAAGGCTGCTGTCACTGATAGAAGGCAATGCTCAGCTAGGTGGGCCAAGAGTAGTTCAGCTCTGAATAAGAAGACTGCCTCTGTATTTGGAATTTAAGCACCACCTACTACTCCTACCTGTAGCAATTGTTGTGGTACTTATTGTAGCTGCCCAGGGCTGTCAGGCATCCCTGGCAAATGGCGTAAGAGAAGAAGATCTGGGTGCCTGCATCCATCCATACCTGGAACGAGAAACGGACAATTCTTACAAGACATGGGAAGCAAACAGGCCTGGCAAGGAAGCCCATCGCTGGAGAGAGGAGTCCCAAATCCTGCAGAAAACCTTTAGCAAACCATTGCCCTTATTTCCAGCAAGGATAACTACTTGCAGATCACAAAAAAAGAAGAACGAAGAAAGATACTGATCTACATGAAACTGCCCATATTAAGGAATACTGCATAAATGTACAGATATGCCAGCCCTTTGGTCTTAATGTCCCAGAACTCCCTCCCTGTGGTCGTTTGTTATTAAATCATCCTTGGACAACCGTTTAAATAGAGGACACCCTCCTCAGACTGGCAGCCCTTCTAATGGACAACATTCCTCCTAAAAGAGGTCATGTGGCCACCCTAACTCAGAATGACTTTTTGATTCAGGCTGCTGGAGATTTGTGTGTTTATCTTGGATGGTGGTGCAATCGTTCAACTTTATTCATTTAGTATGTTTTAAATTCACAATTTTTTTCTCTTGTTGCTTTTACATAGTGATTTTGGAGCCTATTTGACCAAAACACAGGGTGGGCGTCTTCTCAACACTGGATAGAAACACAATTATTGACAACAACTCTCCTGATTCATCCTTTTGGGGGGGGCGAGGGAGGAGAAAATCAGCAATGACGCATAATATTACAGCAAGGGATAGATTTACAGACACAAGCTTCCAGGTTTTTGAACTACAAAGTATAGAGGAATCGTTCTGGTATTTCAGATATTTCCCTGCTGGAATGCAGCTGATTTGATAACTAGGCAATTTTTCATAGGGTTTCTTGTGCTAGAAACTCCAGTCTCTTGAGGGAAATGCTGATGTTATCCATGAGAAACTCAAGCCAGATCCCAGTAAATTAGAAGAGACGTTATCTTTCTCTTCCTTAATCATTTTCACTTAGGGCTTGGCAAAACCATCTGTCAGGTGTTGAATATTTAATAGAGGCAGCTGCATTCACTGTGCCTTCAGTAGCAATGGCCTAACATGCCCATATTTTAAAATGCTCTGGTGAAAACAGCGCTCATGCTGCAGTGAAGTGCCTCCAACTCTTTTAAAAGGGTTGGTGGCTTTAAGGTGGAAGGCTAAGAACTGCATTACAGAGAACAGGGTTGACCTTTGTCCAGCATTAAAAAAACTTTCTCTCTCTCAGACTGAATTGTACCCTAAAATAAAACAGCATGTTTGAGTCCAGGTCAAAAGTTTCCAGTACGTAGTGTCTCTGTACTTTGCCTGGACAATACGGTCCAGGCTCGTTGTTCTCATGGGGCTTGATCCAGTTAATAGTCTCAACTAGAAAAGAGCCACTAAATTACATATGTGCTAGCTTACTGAAGTCCAATTGACTCAAGGGGTCTACTCTAGTCAGGACTAACAAGTGGAATTAGCCCTATGAGTTTATCTAGAGCAGTGATTTCCAACCTCGGGTCCCCAGATGTTCTTGGACTAAAACTCTCCAAAGCATTCATCACTAGCTGTGATGGCCAGGATTTCTGGAAATTGTAATCCAAGAACATCTAAGGACCCAAGCTTGGGAATCACTGATCCAGCACTATCAGGCGCATAAACAGCAGCACTGTTAAGTTGTACATTTGAAGTACATGACTATCTACTTAGTAGCTTCATTGCTCAGAGTCCCAACGTGAATTCAGCTGGATTGGTTCATGTCAACAAATGAGGAATGGATCTTTTGTAAAGTTAATGGCTCTTATTTGCCCCTTTTTCAAGTCATCCTCAAAATACTTCACATTACAACAGGAATAGTTTACAATAATATATTGTTCTAAGCAAAATCTGTTTCTCTCCCAGCTACCATGAGGCTTACAGCTAACCTCAGAGGAGGCAAGGAAATCTGAGGGAGGTAATGAATAATGACATAGTCTCTGCTAATGAGAAGGTCCTGTGGCTTCACCCTGTGAGCCCTCTCTTCACTGGTATGCAGACAGACAGGGCCTTCTCAGTGGTGGTGCTGTGAGTTCAGAATACCCTTTCTGTAGAGGTTAATTGAGCTCTCTTTTCTGTGTCTTTCAGACAGAAGCATTCAGACGTGCATTCATTCCAAGAGGAATTGAATATAATTACGCTGCTGCTTTCAACTTGAAGATCGCTTATACTGGTGAAGCCCCTTGTTCCATTCATAGGCCAGCACTGCCCATTCTGAGTGGCATCCACATCAATGATGGGAGCCTGTAGCCTTCTGCAGTCAAAACTTTGTTGTCTGGTGTAGTGCAACAGGTTTATACCTCACTCCTGCTATTTCTTCTCATTCTTTTCCTGCTGGACCTTGGGCACCATGGTAGCTATTTTCACTGTAGACGTTAAGACGTTACCCGAAGACTGCCATTCCACACGATGCTCTAGCTTTTGATGATTGCAGTGCCAAGTTATAATTTGCATGGCTGTATGAGTAAGCTCATTGTAAATTAAACACCAGCAACAAAAACTTCCACCTCTTCCTTTGTCACACCATATGCTACTCTTTATAACATTCAATTCACAAATTCAGCAAGGGTTGTTGAGATGTGAACAATAAAGAAATACGTGATACATATGCATGTGTGATTTGACATCACGTTAGGCTCAGACAAAGGAACAGCCACATTCAGCACAGCCTCAATGTTCATGATCATCTTTAGGAATCTGTCAAGTTACTCAGAGGAATAATATTACTTTTAAAAGAAAATATTATTAAGATTTTGAGCGCCCACAAGTTAGTTTGTTACCATTCTTATGGCATTATAACTTTCTCCCTCTTTCTCAAAAATAACTAAAGTAGTTACTTTCAATTACTTCAGGGGGAAATACCTGAAAGCAAATAATAGCCTGCCATGAATGTTCACTCTTGTTTTATTGTATTGTTGTTGTAGTTTATGACTTTATGTTATTCTGTTAGTCGCCCAGAGAAGTAGCTTGGCTACTAGTTGGGGGGGATATAAATGCAAACAGACAGACAGACGGACGGACAGACAGACACTCACAGCATAGAAAGCAGCAATAGCAGCACACATAAAATGAGGTAGAATTTGAATTGTGTAAAATTCCTTTCACTATTTAGTAAGGTCTCAACCCATCAATATAAAAGTGACTAAAATTTTATAGTTACATAAGTGAAGTTATCTCTTTTAAGTTACAATCAACTTGTGTGCTGTAGTTATGCTTTAGTTATTGCAAAAAAGGGTTATTTACAAATATATAATTATTTGTAATCAGTTACTTCCAAGTCACCAACTCACTTGAGGATCTGCCAGTCTAGAGATGTCTGGTTTTAAGTAGAATATAATTCCTTCTCTGGCACCAGGTAAAGTGACTCCTCGAATCAACAGAATAAAAAGCATCACATAGGGGAATGTGGCAGTAAAGTAGACCACCTGCAAGCAAGCAAAAAATAGAAGTAACCAAGAAGTCAATGAAAAACAACGAGAAGGACTTCTTGGCCATTACAATTTACCAGAAGAAATTAAACCAAGCAATCTTGTCTTCTGAATGCATTACAAGGACTGAGGCAGTGCCCCACCAAATAAGTTGAACTGCAAGGAAGTGAGAGCTGGACCATAAAGAAAGCAGACCGCCGAAGAATTGATGCCTTTGAATTGTGGTGCTGGAGGAGACTCTTGAGAACCCCCTGGACTGCAAGGAGAACAAACCTATCCATTCTGAAGGCAATTAACCATGAGTGCTCACTGGAAGGACAGATCCTGAAGCTGAGGCTCCAGTACTTTGGCCATCTAATGAGAAGAAAAGACTCCCTGGAAAAGCCCCTGATGTTGGGAAAGTGTGATGGCAAGAGGAGAAGGGGATGACCGAGGATGAGATGGCTGGACAGTGTCTGTGAAGCAACCAACATGAATTTGACACAACTCCGGGAGGCAGTAGAAGATAGGAGGGCCTGGCGTGCTCTGGTCCATGGGGTCACGAAGAGTCGGACACGACTAAACCACTAAACGACGCAAGGACCATAGTCTCTCAACCTGTCATTCTGAACGTTGTCCAATGCAACAGCCAAAATCCTCATGTATAAAGTTACACCCACTCAAACTGATGATGTCATCAGCCATGGCTTTTATTGTTCTTTAAAAGTTTCTTATTACACCTCCCTCTCTACCCAGGTTCCCAGGCTCCTTTTTCACCCGGGGAGCCACAGGAGAGTGGGTAAAGGCAAAGGCAAAGGTTTCCCTTGAAATTTAGTCTAGTCGTGTCCGACTCTAGAGTGTGGTGCTCAACCCTGTTTAAAAGCCGTAGAGCCAGCATTTGTCCGAAGACAGTTTCTGTGGTCAGATGGCTAGTGCGACTTAGACATGGAACACCATTACCTTCCCACCATGGTAGTACCTATTTATCTACTTGCATTTTACATGCTTTCAAACTGCTAGATTGGCAGGAGCTGGGACAAGCGATGGGAGCTCCCTCCGTCGCGTGGATTCGAATTGCTGGTCTTTCAACCTTGCAGCCCAGAGGCTTTTGCGGTTTAACCCGCAGCACCACCCGCATCCCCCTGGGACAGTGGGAGGGGAGCCTTAATGTCTGAAAATCGCTGCCACCAGTTCTGCCATTGGCATCAAGCACTATAATTTTATGCAAGCCATTTTTGGCCATTGTATCTGGACAGTGTGCTTTCAGACCAAGATGGCATAAACAGAATCTGTGCTTGGCAAGAGAAGGAGATGAGCCCACAAAACATTTCCACTGTATATGTTGGGAATCATATATATTTCCCTAGACTGTGCAAACAAAAGCTTTTCAGAAGTTTTGAGCTCATTCTGTGGATCTGACATTGTTTCTCACAGAGATCTTGGTGTTTTTGTGTCCCAACAGTTCTGCACATTTCCTGTACTTATTCTGTGCTTTGGCAAAAAGCAAAGCCAGAACACAAATCAGTAGCAGAATTTGTACACCGATGCAGCTGTTGAGTAGTATCCATGATAAGAAGCATACATATTATAATAATACAACTCAGTGAGAATAAAAATAAAGGGCACCATCTTAACAATCCCTTTTCATGACTGTTAATACAACCTACTTCACATTATGGTATACGGTACATGTTTATTGGCCCCACCAAGCCTAAGGGTGGGGAATTGCACAGTCCCAGCATTGCAACCCTTATTAAATTAGTTCATGTGTCCTTCAAAAGAGCAACAATGCACTACAGTGATTTGATTTCCTTTGAAAACATTCATTTGCCTTCTGGTTTATCTTCATTTAATATAACAGAATATAATTTTTTTACACTGCATTATGCCTTCAGTGCCATTCTTTGGAAGAAAGGCAGGGTTATAAATCCAGTAAACAGATAAATGAATAATGTTCATCTAACATAAATCTTTTCTACTGCTGTCTCCATAATTTAAGTAAGCAAGCCTTAAGCAGGAAAAAAATTCTACAAAATTTGAAATGATCCAGTCCATGTTTCCATTCACCTTCTCTCTCAGCCAGGATTGCCCACCTAGAGTTTGAGGAGGGGCAGGCCGGCTTGGCTCCCAAGACAGAAGGACCAGAAACAAGAATGAGAAAACAGTGGTGCCTCGCTTAACAAGTGCCTCGCTCAACGATGAATTCGCATAATGATGGCTTTTGCTGGACATTTTGCTACCTCACCTAACGATGTTTCCTATGGGGGATTTTCGCATAGCGATGTTTGGGACCTTGCTTCACTTAACGATGACAGTTTTAGGTCCCCTGTTTCGCTTAACATTTTTTTTCACAGCCCTGTTTTCGCTATTTTAAAAATATTCTAAAATGTTTAAAAAATGTTTAAAATGCTTGGAATCGTTAGTGCACCTAATAAAACCTTCATTAAAGTAATCTGGCTTCGTTCTGAGTCTTTTTGAATTTTTGGTGATTTTTTTTCACCATTAAAATGTATTGAATAGGCTCCTATTGGAACGGATTAACCGGTTTTCAATGCGTTCCTATGGGAAATGGTGTTTCGCTTAACAATGTTTTCACATAACGATGTTTTTAATGGAACCAATTAACATCGTTATGTGAGGCACCACTGTATATTCAGATATCACAGAATTCTGCATCTCTAGTCTTAACATTCTTATATACAGAGAGTAAATATTATAGTGTCTAGATTGATTTTGGCCATCAGCTCTAAACAAGATGGGCTTCCTTTCTTTCCCACTTATTTTGCCCTGAATGATCAGCTGTAACAATCTGTACCTTTTGGTTGTTGCTGCCACTTATTACATGACTGAAATATTCCAGCTAACTGAATTCTGCATCTAGTATTCTGTTGCCTAAACACAACATAGAAGGGAAGTCATGTAAGCCCCACCCCCAACCACAGTCCTCATCACATACCCTTTCTTGCATTGTTTTTGTGATCGGTCATGCCACTAGTCGTGTAAGAAGGAATCTGCAGCAGTGAGGAGATGTTTACACAATTTCCCTTCCACTAAAAGTTCAAGCAACAAGATAACAGCCTATGTGTTTTACCATTTCTTGGTCTTGATTCTTTCTCCTTAGCATGTCTTCACTGATTACTTTCTTGCTCCAACAGTTTTTAAGCATCCTGTGATTTCTTTACATCGACTCATACAAATTTTTGACTGTAACCAATGGAAACAGGTTTCTATCTTGATTCTTCTGCTGAAGGCAATGCTGTTTTAAGCAACACCCTACAGGCAGAGAATGAAAGCAACAGCCATGCTCCTTGGCATCTGGTGGTCAGTGGGATCCTGCTTCTGAACACATAGACTCTGTGGCCAGTGGTCAGTAGTAGACCTCTCCTAAATGAATATGTCCAAACCATCCTTTCAAAACTGTCTAAGCCACTTACCATCACCAGCTCTTGGTAGTCTTATGTTAGCCAATGCATTGGCTGAAATCCAATAGCAAGTAACAACTAGAATAGGCCCATTCAATTAGTGGGGATCTGATGAGTCAACTATTCCATTGATTTAATGAGCTTACTCTATTTGCGGCTTACTCCTGGATTCCAGCCATTTTGTTGGTCCACCCTATCATACTGCCCTAGATAGTGTGGGACTAAACGATTGCTTCTTGAAAAGATAAATATAGATCACACCAACATATGATGAAACAGTTTTTAAGATTTCCATTTTAAATGTGGTTTAGGGTTTGTATATGACTTCCCTCCCTCCTTGTGCATTCACTTCATTCCCAACCAAAGTTCACTCAGTCTCTTGTTTTTAAAGCACATCCACTAATGTCAAATGTCAATTTCTTCCAATGTTCACTTTGCTTTTCTTCTTTTTGGACACAGGAAGGCTGATAAAACAGATCAATGTGTTTTAAGAATTAACAAGTACAAGACTGCTCCTACTTTGCCAGTGGACTTGACTCCTTTCCAGATGCAGAAGTAACAGATGATCCAGGCAAGCAAGAGGCAGAGCGCCAGCTCCCATCGTATGGTGCCCAGATTATGTATACCATCCGTTATTTTCAAGGCTCGCCTTCTGCCAATGCAGATGAAAAGATGGGAAAGTTGATGCTTGAGTTTTACTGTTTGCTGCCAGCCCACATCAGCTGCTTCTTCATTAATTTTCACCTACTCCCTGTGGCATGTCTGGCTCTCAGATACCATCATTTTAACAAGGCAAGACTCGATTGCTTTCCTTTTGACCTTTGGGCTCAGTTTTGATTTCTCATCAATTTGGGCAATGGATGTCCCCTTCTTGCCCCCAAATAACCCTCCCATTCTATCGCATTTAAAGCTTTCTCCTCTGTGGGATTACAGCCTGGATCCATTGATGTGCATCTTCTGGATCCAATCACTTTCTCCAGAATGCTGATTAGCATCCTACCACATAGTGCATGGTGCATCTTAAAAACCCACTCTGTGTCAAGCTGTGAAATTCTATGTGTATACAGTGTTAAAATAATTAAGGGAATGTGTGTGTAGAAAAAGCAACCCTGAAACTGAAAGTGCTTTTAAAACTGAGACTTGAACAGTAGTTTACTATAGTCATTGCAAAACAATAAGCTAGCTATCCAGCTAAGAAAGGTCACTGTACAATCCTGAGAGCTGAACATGTTTATGTTGCAATGTGTAAATATGGAGGTAGAATTTGTACATCCTGTAGCTACAATATTCCAGTGTTTCAGGACCATGGGTGTTTCAATAACCTTGTGTAACAAGTGCCTTCTGCTACAGAACCTTCATTCTCCAATCTCTGCAAACAGCTTAGTCAAAAGAATGACATTGCAATCATAGTAGCAGTTTGCTAGTATTCCATAGCTGTAAGACTTTTCGATGTTTTGAATATTTGGGATTTTATTTTTGTGCACATGGAAACAAAGAAGCAAGGCACATAAATAAAGCTTGTAGAATTAGACAAGCTGGTGTTGCCTGGAATCACTGCTACAATGAAAAGACACACTGATTGGCAGATGACTTTTGATATATATTTGGAAATGATTGTCTAGTTTTATCCTGGAATGAACCCTTTGCTGGGATAAATGCCAGCTGTGACAAACACAGGCTTCTGTTTTTTATCTAAAGCTTCTAAGGTTCTGTAGGGCTTTTGGGGAGAGGTTCACATGCCAGAATCCTTACCTGACACTCTACTCATGGGCAAGTTTTTGATGCCACATATGGCTCCAGCATTGGGGGATTGGGAGATATTTAATTGGTTTTTGGTGCTGTGGGACACTTACTTGATCTTGGCTAATGTTTCTTCTGGAGGGGATGTTTTTGTTGCCTGTTTAGTAAATTCATTCAGAACTTTAGAGTCCTACTGAGATCAGGTGGGAAAGGTCATAAATAAGACTCAATTGCTAACATGCTGATAGCTTAGTTTTTTTTTAAGCATTATTAGCAGAACTGTTTCTAGTGGTACAGTTGATTTTTAAAAAATGGCTTCCCTGTGAGCAGAGGGGTTCCACTTTACTGCAGTAATGTCCAAATGCAATGCTAGTAGGGCAAATCGCACTGTTCAGTCAGGGCATGGCAATTTGCTCGGTCATGCTGCCTAGGGGAATCTGTGGGCAGTAAATTAAAAAAAGCAACTTCTACCATCTCTTAAGTAAGAATCCACATCAAAAGCACTGGTCTTCAGTGCAGTGAATGCCAGCAAGTCTAAATCTTTTCCACACACTGCAATGCCCCATGATTTTGTTGTTCACTTTACAAGTGGAGGGTGGGATGATTAGGCTGTTGTAAAAGATTCCTTCCTGCAATGTGGAACACACATTTCTCCTTACCTTGTGTTTCAAAAACGTACTGAACCATGCTGTAGCTTGGTCCATGCAGTAGGGCTACCTCTTTGTGCATGTTATCAAGACGTTGCACTGTGGGCGGTGAAAAGCTTGGAGGTGTGTTAGATCAGTGGTTCTTAACCTTTGTTACTCGGATGCTTTTGAACTGCAACTCCCAGAAACCCCAGTCAGGACAGCTGGTAGTGAAGGCTTCTGGGAGTTGCAGTCCAAAACTCCTGAGTAACCCAAGGTTAAGAACCAGTGTGTTAGGTGTCCATAAGCTCACACTACCATACATTTGACTATGCTGGTAACCTGGTAGATAAATTCATACCAGTTTGAAATATGTAATCCTGTTGAGATCCCTGTTCTTTCAGCATCCTGGTGATGCTTTACAGAAGCCTCATCTTTAGAGGCTTTAGAAAAGCCTCACCTCTAAATTGTTAGAAAGCAAGGCATTAAACATCTGAATACTTACTCCCAGAATTCAATGACAGAGGAAGTAGAATTGGCTACATCTGTCCTGTTTGCCCAACTGGAAGTGTTGGAAATGTCCAGACAGTGTTCTGAAAAAGAGGGAATGTAGAGTTGAGAGATATCTTATCGAGGCCATCTAGCCTAATCCCTAGATCAATGGAAGCTCTGCAATGTTCTGCATTCCTGACAGATTTATTATTTATTTATTTATTGGACTTCTATACCGCCCCATAGTGCTACAAGCACTCTCCGGGCGGTTTACAATTTTTAATTATACAGGCTACACATTGGCCCCCCCCAGCAAGCTGGGTACTCATTTTAATGACCTCGGAAGGATGGAAGGCTGAGTCAACCTTGAGCCGGCTACCTGGGATTTGAACCCCAGGTTGTGAGCACAGTTTTAGCTTGCAGTACAGCGTTTTAACCACTGCGGTCATCCGGCTGGAGCTTCAACACTTCTAGTGACAGAGAGCCAGGATTTATGGATCCAGCTGTTCCTCTTCCAAGGAAAATGGACTTATCCAAGTCTGATCAGAAGCTGCAAGAAAATTACTAGTGGCCATACCAGGGGCAGGGCAGATTCTGAGAACTATAGTTAAAAAAAAACACACTACCTTTCCCAATTGCTTAGCCTGGCTGAGGCCCTCTTAGAATGTCTAACTTTTCTTCAACAGGATTCCTTGGAAGCCCAGAGTCCCAGGAGGATGTGGGAACTCCTCAGAATAATAGAATAATGAAGTTGGAAGGAGACTGTAAGGTCACTGGGTCCAAACCCCGCTCGAGGGAGGAAAACAAATCAAAGGATATCTGCCAGGTGGTTGTCCAAATTTTTCTTGAATGCCTCCAGTGTTGGAGTACTCAACATTTATTAAGTAATTGGTTCCACTGTGAAACTGTTCTAACAGTTAGGAATTTTTTCCTGATGTTCAAATGAAATCTAGCTTCCTGTAACTTGAGCCCATTGTTGCGTGTCCTGCACTTTGGGATGATTGAGAACAGATTCTAAACTCCTCTGGATGATAGCCTTTAAAGTATTTCAAAAATGCTATCATATCTCCCCCAAGTCATCTTTTCTCAGATGCACAATTCTTTCAGTCTTTCTTCATAGGGCTTGGTTTCTAGCCCCCTGATCGTCCTTGTTGCCCTCCCCTGAGCTTGTTCCAATTTGTCAGGATCCCTCTGGAAGTGTGGTGTCCAGAACTGGATACAGTACTTGACAAGGGCTTTATGGATGAGGCGGTGCCTTTTCCTATGCCCCAGCAGAGATTTATCCAATTCAGGATATCATTAATGACAATGGTATTGAGAGTAGTAAAGTAAAGAAATTATATTGTAGCAGTAGTAATATATACAGAATTGTCCTTTCTCCAGTCCTTTGGTCATACATGTTACAGCATTCAATGTCAGTCCACTTAACATATCATAAATCAAGAGTTCATAGTAATATTCTGCTCTGTAATTCAATCATGCAGAGTAACTCCTTCTTCTCTCCATTGGACCTCGAAACAGTGTTCTGAGGCTGTTAGCTTTATTCCCCCCTTGTGGCCAATTAGAGATTAGCTTCTGTATGATTCTTCTATAGCATTTTATTTCCACAGCTGTATTAAGTCTAAATGGTAGCTTGTTGCTAGCACAGCTGTAGTATTTGATCAAACTCTTTCTACAAACTTTCTTACAAACTTTGATCATCAACACCTACAGTACTCAGGTGAGGCCCAATCAAAGCTGAATAGTACCTCATGGGATTTGGAGACTATACTTCATGCAAAGGTAAAGGTTCCCCTTGACAATTTGTCCAGTCGTGTCCGACTCTAGGGCGCGGTGCTCATCCCCATTTCCAAGCTGTAGAGTCAGCGTTTGTCCAAAGACAATCTTCCGTGGTCACGTAGCCAGCGTGACTACACATGGAACACTGTTACCTTCCCACCGAGGTGGTACCTATTTACCTACTTGCATCTGCATGCTTTCGAACTGCTAGGTTGGCGGGAGCTGGGACAAGTGACGTGGGCTCACTCCATTGCGTGGATTCGATCTTACGACTGCAGGTCTTCTGACCTTGCAGCACAGAGGCTTCTACGGTTTAACCCGCAGCGCCACCACGTCCCCTATACTTCATGTACTGATAATTTTATTTTAGGGTTTTGAAGATTCTCCTGTCTTATAGATCCCAGCTCAGTTGAGAAAGATGTTTGGGAGTTTTGTCTGACTTTGAAATCAAAGGGACACTTCAAGTTTGCAAATTCTACAAGCAACTTCTGTATTTGTGCTGCTGCCGAGGACTTGGGTGCACAAATTGTAGTGTTTCGTTGTTGTTATAATGGTTCGTGTTGTCTGTTACATAAATGCAAATCAGAAGAGATTTGTTTTGTGAAATTCTGTTTGCAAGATTCATCAACAGTAAGCAAACAGCTCCATAGAATTTAAAAGTGTCAGGGGGGCCCCGAATACAGCAGGACAGGCTCTGAACATTTTAATGCAAAGGGGTGTGATGCATGTTCTCCTCTCAAGAGGAGTGTGTGAGAGAGAGTAAGAGCATTTAGTCCACTGTCCAAAAAATTCCTTAGCTGCTTCCACCTGTCATATGTGAAAAAGCTCACTAGAGAATAGGAACTCAAAGCAGAAACTTTGGATAGACAAATGTGTGATGTAAGGAAAAGGAATAGGGATCACAGCACTGATGCTTTCATTCCAGCCTGCGGAGAAGGGAGTGAAAGCAAGTGACAGAAGAGGAAAGGCATTCAGGGGTCAAGGGAATCTCTGTTGGGTTGCCTTGCTTCTCCAAGGGCCTTGGATACCAAGCAAAATGAAAGAGAACAAAGGCTGACTAAACAAAGCCCCAGGTCATCGTTTCACTGCATGAGACTCCGGTCTCTTCATCCACCTGAGAGCAAGAGGTTGGCAGAAGACCTGGCCGGTGTTTGATCACGGTGTGAGAAGATCAATGGCACAGCACCCCTATCTACTCATTGCTGAGTTCAGGGGGCTGTGATCAGCTCTCAGAAAGATTGCCCATACCAGGCAGACACAGAAAAGCTTTGAAGAATTAGAGGAACTAGACTTTATTTCTGGGAACAGGGCTGTCTGGCTGAAGGGGAAAGCAGAAAGGAAGAATGTGTAATGAATATAACTCATCCTCTGCCTCCCTCAGAAGAACCCAAATATGCAAGATTTTGTTGTCTAAGGTACAAACAACCCCAAGATAGCACCCTCTACATGTAGATGTACAGCAGTGAACTGAATTGGCAGGTGACTTTTACTTTAAGAGCAGTGACAGCGCTGTACACCTGAGGGCACGAAAGCCAAATTATGGTGATGATGATGATGATGTGTTATCAAGTCAATTGTGACTTATGGCAACCCTTTCCAGGGTTTTCAAGCTTGAGAATATCCAGAAGTGGTTTACCATTCCCTTCTTCTTGGGGCATCCTAGGACTGTGCAGTTTGACCAAGACTTACACAAGCAGATACCACAAACAATAATTTGTTTGCCAACGGAGGTAAATGGCTAAGGAGATCAGGAAGAATGCTTGTGGGCTGTCAGTGCTCTTCCCAGCATCTTCTGCTTGAGGCGTTTGTCTCGTTTTGCTGAATAATGGGGCTAGCCCTGCCACTGGGGGGCTGTGATTAAAATGGTTGCAATCCCTTACAGCATTCTGATGACACAAGAGGTTTCCTTCCTAAGTAGAAGGATGATGTCATGGTTCCACTAATAGAAAACCCACACCCCACATATGTTATGTATGAACTAAACTGAGAAAAAAAGAGAAGTGACAGTGGCCATTTCCTCAAGGACAAAGGCTAAAACAGATGGACCAATTTACAACTGGAGGTGATAATGTTAATCCTTCCAGAGACACAACTTCAAAGCTGATGTGTGTGTGTATGCACACACACACACACACACACACACACACACACACACACACACACACACGCTATTTTGCAACTTCTGAAACTGTGCAATCTGTCAGAGGGTAATCACACATACTTTACTGCTTAAGATAACTCCAATTCTAGTTGAGAAGCTTCCCTTGCATCTGTTTTGGGCCATAGATACATATGTCACAAGCATTGGCTCTCCTGTGACCAAATCCAGCCCAAACATTAAACAGGGAAAAGCAGATATCAACCAGCAGATATAGGGTGACACGCATAAACACGAATGTATCTGTATACAAATTTGAGGATATATTACACAGAATATAAAATATCTTCAGCCCAATCCTATAGAACAAAGTAAAAGAGAGCAATAGATTCACCTGTTGAGGAAGCCATTTTGACACCGTTGTTACCATACCTGTATTCCAGGGATTCCCGCAGGTGGACCAAGGCAGGACAGCAGTGAAGGAGTTAAATAGATAAAATAGGGCCCAGGCCAAAATGATAATATAGTAGATGTTTAGGTAAGATTCAATAACTTGTGAAGCATATCCAATTCCTGAGGAGAGACAGAGAAAGAGAGAAATTATGACAGTGGTGATTTCAAAAGGCTTACAGCTTCCCAGAGCAGGGACAGGTAATTTTGGTGGACTTCAGACTGAATTTTCACCTCAAGAATCCACCAGGCACCACACAAGGCCAAGAAATGGCCAAAATTTGCCATCTTGGAAATGGGGAGGAGGGGGACTGGAATCCAGGTGGAATTTGGGAGTGGGATCCCTCCAAGTTCCATAATGCGAAAACTCTTGCTCCTGAGTAGAAATAGGCTATTTTATATAAAGATTAATCAAGTTTTTTTTAAAGGGTGAGAGATTTCTGTCAGTGAACCTGGGATGACCTGCGAGACTGCATTAATCCAAGATTGTTTAATCTCTCCAAGAGTGCTTGATGGGAAAGGAACCTAAGTGGCCTTCCAGCTGTTGCTGGACTACATTTCCCTTAATTCCTCACCACTCTGCAATTGTCTGGGGCTGATGGGAACTAAACTGCAATAACAACTGGAAGGGCACAGTTGGTTGTGTGGGAAGGGCTGGGCTTTTTCCAAGATTAGTGTGGCAACGACAGACATGTGAGTGGACGGGCTGGGTCACGGGGGGGGGGAGGAATGGGCCTCTGCGGCATCTGTGGTGCCATGATTTGTATCCCATATCCCCAGGAATATGAATATGAATAGCCCATCTCTAGTCTGGACACAAGTTTGTCCTTGGAAGCATCCTTGTAGAAACTGCTCCAAGACTTCAGAGGAAAAGTACAATATAAGCAGATGTTGGTATTTTGGGGGGAGGAGACTACAGTTCTCAGAATTCTCCAGCCAATATGAGCAGTAGTTCTGGGTATATGTTAGGGGCTGGCAAAGTGGGGCCCACTGGATAACAATGGGCTACAACCCCCAGTTTACCAGCCAGGAGATCATGGGAGTTGAAGTATAAAAAAGTAAGTTTTCCAAGCTCTGTTCAGAGGAATTGTTGATCTCTGACTATGGACCTCACTCTATAACTGTAGCAAGGGAAGCTCCCCTTATTTTTCGGCCCTTCATCTGCCCCCACCTCCAGAATTTAGGCTCATTCCCTAAACTGACCTTCAGTATTTGTTGACCTTACATTCTGGAGTTATTTTTCCCATCAAGCTGGTAAACATCTCTAGATTGTACCAGATGCATTATGCATGGGAAGGAGGTATTTTTTATGCACAAGCATTTCTGGACAGTCTGGATGGCCCCATTGACAATCTGAGGCATCTTCTGACAATTTAAGCATCTTATTTAAGAAGCTGGTCATTGTACTCCTGCTGATGGGAAAATAAATTATGCACATGAATATTTGCAGACACTCATCTTTTGCTATCTTTAGAGTGTTAAGGTCCCCGATCCCAAAGAAGGGCAGTGCCAAAGAATGCTCCAACTACCGTACAATTGCACTCATTTCACACGCTAGCAAGGTTATGCTCAAAATCCTACAAGGTAGGCTTCAACAAGGTAGGCTTGTACTCCCAGAAGTACAAGCTGGATTTCGAAGAGGCAGAGGAACTAGAGACCAAATTGCTAACATGCGCTGGATTGTGGAGAAAGACAGAGAGTTCCAGAAAAACATCTACTTCTGCTTCATTGACTACTCAAAATCCTTTGTCTGTATGGACCACAGCAAACTATGGCAATTCCTTAAAGAAATGGGAGTGCCTGACCACCTTATCTATCTCCTGAGAAATCTATATGTGGGACAGGAAGCAACAGTTAGAACTGGATATGGAACAATTGATTGGTTCAAAATTGGGAAAGGAGTATGACAAAGCTGCATATTGTCTCCCTGCTTATTTAACTTATATGCAGAATACATCATGCGAAAGGCAGGAATGGATGAATGCTAACCCGGAATTAAAACTGCTGGAAGAAATATCAACAATCTCCGATATGCAGATGATACCACTTTGCTGGCAGAAAGTGAGGAGAAATTAAAGAACCTTGTAATGAGGGTGAAAGAGGAGAGTGCAAAAAAAAAAAAAAAAACGGTCTGAAACTCAACATCAAAAAAACTAAGATCATGGCCACTGGGCCCATCACCTCCTGGGAAATAGAAGGGGAAGATATGGAGGCCGTGAGAGATTTTACTTTCTTGGGCTCCATGATCACTGCAGATGGAGACTGCAGCCACAAAATTAAAAGATGCCTGCTTCTTGGGAAGAAAGCGATGACAAACCTTGACAGCATCTTAAAAAGCAGAGATATCACCTTGCCAACAAAAGTCTGAATAGTCAAAGCTATGGTTTTTCCTGTAGTGATGTATGGAAGTGAGAGCTGGACCATAAAGAAAGCTGACCGCCAAAGAATTGATACTGTTGAATTGTGGTGCTGGAGGAGACTCTTGAGAGTCCCCTGGACTGCAAGGAGAACAAACCTATCTGTTCTGAAAGAAATCAACCCTGAGTACTCACTGGAAGGACAGATCCTGAAGCTGAGGCTCCAATACTTTTGCCATTTCATGAGAAGAGAAGACTCCTTGGAAAAGACCTTGATGTTGGGAAAGTGTGAAGGCAAGAGGATAAGGGGACAACAGAGATAAAACGGTTGGACAGTGTCATCGAAGCAACCAATATGAATTTAACTCAACTCCGGGAGGCAGTGGAAGACAGGGGGGCCTGGCGTGCTATGGTCCATGGGGCCACGAAGAGTCGGACACGACTAAACGACGATGACGACAATTTTAATAAAGGGCTTTACAGGCCATTAACCACATGTTTTAAACAAGATGCTTAGCTTGGCTTCTTTTATTTTGAAGGGAAAACAGCTTCAATCCAAGATGTGCCACAAAATCCAGGTCATACCAATTTTCAAAGCTGAAAACATTCCCCTGCTTAGCTGCTTTGTTCCCAACGATGTTTGCTGGACATTTTCACAAATCAAGATCTACCATGAGAGTAGAGTTTTCACTACAAAACCAAAGCAAGGAAAACAATCCAGATCAACTGTTTCTTTTTTCCTCCAAAATAAAAATGGCCACGTACATTTGCTGAACTCCATAATCGGCCCACGCCGTTTGGTTTTAAGAATGTCTATGACAGACAGAGGCCTTCTCACTGTCTGTTGCAGGATAAGCAAACTGGCTGTCTAAACCCTGCTAAATTGGAACTCTGAGCATTCATCACTATAGGTCATGATAAATTATACTCCAACAACATTTACAATGGTCGGAGCAGCCTGGGGACATGGACAGAGAGCTGAATCATCTGGGAGGAGAGGGTGGTAAGGAACAGCTGGTACAAGAGAAGGACACAGGTGGGGTGCAGTGGGCAGAGTTGACAATAAGAGGGGAAGAAGATGATGCCAAGGGGAAACATGGTCAGAGGCCTAGGAGGAACTACCCTGTTCTTCTGTGCCTTGGGGGAGATACAACTTTTCATGGGAAAGGATCCCCGGATGAGGGAGAGGGTGAGTTTTGCCCAGTGGAGAGAGTACGAGGCTGGTGCTCCCATCTTCCCACCTGAGCCATTTTGCCTGGGGGGATTCTGGGACTTATACTGTAGTCCAAATCCAAAACCTTTCCAAACTCCACACAGAGTGACAAAAAACAACATCCCACCCTTTGCCTCAGACAGCAGTTCTGGAGAAGAGCTATCTGGTACAACCATCAAAAGGCAGATTCTCAAAGCAGTGAATCAAATATTGAAACTCCAACCCCTCCAGTACAGGGTGTCAATATTCCAAGTTTTGGATTAAGTAAGTTACTGCTTAGCAACCAAGTGGCCTTCAGAAATCGGTTCAGGTCCCCTATTAGCTTTACTCTAGCTCTTTCATCACAATTAGCTCTACTCTGTGCTTCATAGCTTGTTCTTGATTGGTACGACCCTGACCCTCACAGATCGTTCCTCATTAGCCAGGGTGATGCAATTTCTTCCTTGGTTTCACCCTCCTGTTCTGAATATTTGCTCTGTCACTCTTGCTAGACATGTCACCCTATAGTGGACTCTGTTCACCCATGTGCCCTGGTTTGACTCCAGATGTTTCTCTAGCATAGTTTGCTTCTGAAGGCTCTATCTTTTGAGTGCTATCTGTAGAGCAATGGTCCCCAACCTTGGGCCTCCAGATGTTCTTGGACTTCAACTCCCAGAAATCCTGGCCAGCAGAGGTGGTGGTGAAGGTTTCTGGGAGTTGTAGTCCAAGAACATCTGGAGGCCCAAGGTTGGGGACCACTGCTGTAGAGGACCTGCCTCTGCCTCTGGCAAATTCTGGGATGACTCACACTCTTGACTTAGATTGCAGTTTGGAATGGGCCCCTCCTGGTTGGCAGCTGAACATGCCCTCTGGTTCAAAGAGACTTTAATCAAAAGGACACCAGGTGCTTGATGGAAAGTTACAAGCACCTGTGGCTTACAACCAACTTACCTTCAAAGATAGGGCAGATCTTTCTCCAGGCAGTGATCCCTCCTTGACTGGTATATTGCCCAAGGGCCGTCTCCAAGAGGAACACTGGAATCCCACAAGCAAAGAGGAAGATGAGATAGGGGATGAAGAAAGCACCTATAAAGCAAGAAAAGAAGGTTGGACTGCAGCAAATGTATCTGTTAAATCTTTTTTTTTTTCAAAGAAAGGGAAATAACCACCCTTATATCAGGCTGGACTCAAATAACCACTCTAATACTTGGCTAGATGAACAATACTTCTTGTTTTTATCCAGCTTAAGACAGAAGGGCATCGTAGTTGTTGTGGCTTTGGATGCAGTCACTCTTAACAGTGGTGTCATACTGCATCCAAACTAGCCCCTAAGTACTTACTAACTTAGATGAGGCATCCATCAGTCTCCAGAGACTATGGTAACATGCTCTGAATAGAGGTCTTGGAAAAGTGTCTAGTGTGAGCCGAGAAGGCCAATTCGAGAGTGACAATCCCTTCCACACTGAAGACAAATACAATCTGCGCCCTGTCCAGCTCCCTGATTTTGCTGCTTTCGGGACTGCCTCTTTGCCTCGGCCTGCTGGACAAGGGTCTCTTCAAATTGGGAGAGGTCATGATGCACCACCTGCCTCTGGGTTGAACGCTCAGATGTCAAGGTTTCCCATCTGTTGAGATCCATTTCTAAGGCTTTCAGATCCTGCTTGCAGATATCCTTGTATCAGAGCTGTGATCTCCCTCTGGGGCGATTACCCTGCACTAATTCTCCTTCCAAAAATTCATTTGGAATCCAACCATCAGCCATTCTCACGACATGCTCAAGCCAGCATACACATCGCTGTTTCATGTACAGTGGTGCCTCCCATAGTGATTGCTTCGTTTTACAACGAAATTGCTTTATGATGCATTTTTTGTGATTGCAAAAGCGATCAATTTGTGATGTTCCCTATGGGGGAATTTCGCTTTGCAATGATCGGTTCCCTGTTTCAGGCACCAATCATCGCAAAGCGATGATTTTTTAACAGCTGATCAGCGGTTTCAAAATGGCCTCTGGGTAAACAAAATGGCCACCTGCTGTTTTTTGGGACGGATTCCTCGCTTAAGAGGCACCAGAAATGACTGCACTATGGAAGATCTTCAAAGAATGGTGAGTTTTAAGCCCATAGGAACGCATTAATCGTGTTTTAATGCGTTTCTATGGGCTTTTTAATATCGCATAGCAATGTTTTCGTTCTGCAGCGATTTTTGTGGAACGAATTAACGTCGCTATGCGAGGCACCACTGTACATGTTTTAGCATGTATACATGCTAAAAATTCCAGCTCATTCTAGGACTAATCTATTTGGAACTTTGTCCTGCTAGGTGATACCAAAAATGCGTTGGAGACAATGCATATAGAACGTGTTCAGCTTCCTCTCCTGCCGTGCACAAAGGGTCCAGGACTCACTGGAGTACAGGAGTGTGCTCAGGACACAGACTCTGTAGACCTGGATCTTGGTATATGCCGTCAGCTTCTTATTGAGCCATACTCTCTTTGTGAGTCTAGAGAACATGGTAGCTGCTTTGCCAGTGTGTTTATCCAGCTTGACATCAAGGGAGAGAGTGTCAGAGATCGATGAGCCAAGGTACACAAAGTCATGAACAACCTCCAGTTCTTGTGTGGAGATGGTAATAGACAGAGGTGAGCCCTGGCCCATGACTTGTGTTTTCTTCAGGCTGATTGCTAATCCTAAGTCTTGGCAGGCCTTGCTAAAACAATTCATGAGTTGTTGGAGGTCTTCAGCAGAGTGTGCAACAACAGCTGTATTATCGGTGAAGAGGAAATCCCGCATGCATTTCAGTTGGACTTTGGTCTTTGCTCTCAATCTAGAGAGATTAAAGAGCTTTCCATCTGATCTAGCCCAGAGAGAGAATCACCTTCTGTTGCAGTTTCAAAGGCGTGCTTCAGCATGACAGCAAAAAAGATCCTGAACAGGGTCCGCGCGAGGACACAACCCTGTTTTGCTCCACTTTGGATGTCAAAGGGATTTGATGTTGAGCCATCAAAAACTACAGTGTCCTTCATTTCCTTATGAAAGGACCTGGTGATGTTAAGGAGTCGAGGTGAACATCCAGTCTTGGGAAATATTTTTAAAAGGCCGTCCCTGATAACCAAATCAAAGGCTGTAAGATCTATGAAGGCCACTCAGAGTGGCTGTCATTATTCCCTACATTTCTCCTGCAACTGTCTGAGGAAAATACCATGTCAATGGTGGATCTATTAGCTCGAAATCCACACTGTGATAATTAGTACATTACTAAATAACTGAACGTTACAGAAACCACAGGATATTAACAGGGCCAGCCCTACCATGAGGCAGAGTGATGCATTCACCTCAGCCAGCAGATGTTGAGAGTCAGTAGCAAAGTGTAAAAAGTTGTGTGCCATACAGCCTATCCTGCCCCCACCAGGCAAGCCTGCGGCCTTCAGAAGCAGCAGAAGACGCAATCCTACCACCAGTCAGATTCAGCAGCTAATAGGGATGAATGGGGTTGCCTGCTTTCTTTTTGCCCCAGACAGCCAAATGTCTCAGACTGGCCCTTCCTATTGGAGTCATTTCAAAAGCAGAGCAATCAAGAGCTGTGAAATAGAAAATTCCTTTTCTGGTCTGTTTCTGCTCTATCCCAAACCACTCCCCAGCTGCCTTGTGCCTCCTGATAGATTTGCCCAACTCAAACACATTTTTAGAAACCCTCAGTCAAAATCCTGTTAGTGAATTCATCTAAGCATAAGGCAAATAATCTACGATTTAGAAGAAGTAGCTGTGTTAGTCCGTGCTGACATGTCAGGCAAAAACAAAACAAAAATAAAAAAGACAAAAACACTGAGGCACCTTAAAGTAGTTAGTCTTTAAGGAACCACAACATTTTTTCCTTCTTTATCGTCTTGTTTTTGCCTGACAGTGTATGACTTGTAGTCAATTTGCCTCAAGAAATCACCACAGACATTATCTGCTGCATAAGGTTTATGGCAATTTCTTATGCTGAGGCAATTCTTCCCCCAAAATAATCTTGTTTACATTAAGGACGTTGGCCAATTAGTAACAGATGTAATCTGGGAAAAGAAATGAAACAGCTTCCTCTTCGCATTGCTCATCTCTTGATTGTTCCATTCCCCATCCCAACTATAATTTCTCTAAAATTAGCACTGTAGCTCTCCAAGGCCCACTTCTTCTTTTTCTTCATCTTTCTAGTAAGAGTTACTTTCAGATTGGGGACTCTGTAAGGTTAGAAATCAAATGGCCACTCCACCTTGAGAGCTCAAATTTAATTTAGACGATTTCCAGTGGTCCTTCCACAAGGTGGCTGCAGCGTAAAGGAATTTGATAGTTCACGCAGCACAAGCCACTTCAAAGAGGTACCAATACATCTAGGTAAACACCATTGGATTAAAGAACCCCCAAAATATCCGCCCTGATTTTTTTTACTTTCACTATACACATATTTAAAAAGCAAATTGTGCTGCTTATGGACCACCCCATAATGCTTAAAGCGCTCTCTGGGCAGTTTGCAATTTTTTTAAAAAAAATTATGCACTCTACACATTTGCCCCGTCCCTCCTGAATGAGCTGGGTACTCATTTTATCTTAAACATATACAGTAAGTACATATGACTTATCCGGACAGAACATTTGCTCCTATAAAAGTACATGTTTTGTCACTGGTTGTTTCAGTACCTCAACAACATAACAACTGACTTAGTTACAAAAAAGTTACAAAATCCATTTAGCCTTTTGTCCCCGAGCTTTGCTCCAGGAGTGGAGTTTAGCGCTATGGTGCCTCCAATGTTTCAAAGGAATTCATTTCCACATTGTTACTTCTCCTGATCAAAATCTTTAAATTAGCGATCTATTTTAAATGGGATCGGGGGGGGGGGAACAGTACCAGAGAAAAAGCTACAGCAGAACTCTGGATTTCAAAGTAGAATTTCAAAGATCTCACACTGAAAAGAATCTTTTGGAAACATGGCTTAAAAAATTTACTCTAGATGAGAATTTCAGCATTCTCCCTCAAGATGAACAAGGAACTGCAGCAAACCAGAGTGAATCTTTTGCTCTATTTGAAAGAGTCTGCACATTGCTGTTACTGGACAAATACTCATTTTTGAACCCATGGGCCCAGATAGCACACATCCAGGAATTCTCGAAAACCCAAGCAAGAAACTGATCTTTATAAAATCTAAAATGTAGAACCACCAGAGCACAGGCTGCTGTCCTCTGAAGATGCCGGCCACAGAGACTGGTGAAACGTTAGGAAGAACAACCTTCAGAACACGGCCAAAGAGCCCAAAAAACCCAGAACAACCAGCCTTCGCGAATATATGTAGAACCACAACTGGTCATCTTTATGGAAGATGGACGCCTAGTAGCCAACAGTAATATTTAAAAGAATAGACCATTATGAGAAAAATCTCCTGAACAATTTAGCAGTCATTAAAAAGAGGTCTTTTTTTTAAGCTGATGACCAATAAAGATCAGGAAAGAGAACAAGTGAACTATTCTCACTGTAAAAGTTTTGTAATATGTGAGAATAAGTAATAATTATGTGTGTCAATTCCAACTTATGACCACCCTTTCCAGGGTTTTCTGAGGACATGAGAAAAGGCAACCAAAGGGCCTCAGAGCATCTTTTCTACGATAGTAGTTTATAGAATTTAGACACTTCGTTTAGAGGAAAAAAGGCAAGGGGAAGAGGATACCATAGCAGTTTATACTATTATGGAGAGCTTGGAGAAGTTATTGTTTGGACTACAACTCCCAGAATCCTTAGATGACTGTTGCTGGCAATGGGAAAAAAGCCCTAGAGGGCAGAAATCAGTATGCAGATTCTGGGATCTGTAGTTTATTTGCAATAGTAGGATGATGCTCTGGATCTCAGAACATCTGCCTTCCACTGATTTAGGGACGGCTTCAGTTTGCCATTACCATATTTTTCGCTCTATAAGACGCACCTTCTCCCCCAAAAAGTGGGGGGGAAGTCTGTGCATCTTATGGAGCGAAGGTGGAGATTTCGCCCCCACTGGAACCATGGTGGGAGCCTCCAAAGGGTCCGAGTGAGCCTTCCAGGACCCTTGCGGGGCTCCCCCCACC